CTCTACCTTGAAGGGAGCCAAACCCCTTAAAGCTTGCCCTAAACACAAAAACCATAAACCCTAGGCCAGGGCTAAAGCCCGTAAAGCTCCAAAGCTCCTTGAGCCCCTGAACCTTGCGGGCGCAGAACTTACTCGAACCCTGGCAAAGTGTTGCCTGTTTTCTTTGAATATCTCTTTACAGCCATACCTGCTACTAACACAGGTATTTCACTTCTAAGAACAGACACCAAAGACTCCGAAAAAGGAAGCCCGCGCCCCAACCCTCAAGTCCAAGCTGCTGCGAGTGTGTCGCACATCCCAAACCCACAGCCACAGCTCTGATGGCCGGGGCATGGGGGGCAGAGCCTGAACAAAGTCTTGAACGCTCTGGATTTTGTGCAGTAAGCGCACGTGACATGCAAACTGGCAGTGGCATTGACTGGCAGAGATTGGCAGAGTATCCTGAGTTGTCCAAACTCCGTTGTGGTCAAACTTTGGTGAGGCTACATCTATCTGGGGCGACATCTGAGCAGGAGCCATGCAGTTGCTAACGGCAAGTCTTTGCAACACGCGTGGCAGGAAAAACGATGCCTTTCACCAGGCTGGGTAAACCTTCTGGGTTCCACAACTGTTTTTTGAGGACTTCCTACGTTTGCTTGGAGGCTAGGTAGTGGTGTGCCTTGAAGTGCTTTTTCACGTGCGCATTTGGTTGCTCTTGCTGAAGCATGTGTCTGCTGCAAAAGAGGCAGCTTCAGGCTTACTTACTGCCTATCAAGTCCGGGCATGAAGAGATTAACTTCAGATGGCTTTCCAGACGCTCTCCAATCATACTGATACTTATTCAGGACATTGAGCTGTTGCTACATTTTTCGTGTTATGGTTTGTCTCAGACGTTGACTCGAATTTGCGGCTCTAACACCAGCGAAGCGCTGTGCGACACTAACTCTTCTTGACATGACTTGCAAGAGGAGTAAGAAAGGTATTGTATTGCAGAGAGAGGAGGACATTGTTTTTTTTCAGAGGGTGCTCGGCCTGGCTTGTGAGCCTTCTTCCTGAACTAAGGAGGGTTTGCAGTGTTGGGTGTGGAGCTGTGATCTGGAGCCCCTTCCTGTTTGGCTGTTGCAGCCTTCACAGCCTTCTCCTTCTCCAAGTTTCCTAGGCATTCACCCTCGTTCTTAAGCCTGCACTGATGAAGCCTTGTTGCATTTGTCCGAATCCTCTGCCGTCGTTGGATTTGGGCCATTGCCCTGGGCTCCGCGGAAACCCTACAGCTACGTAATTTTTCAGCGGATCATTTGAGGCAAGATGATCCCCCTTCTGTATTTGGCGTGCATGTGCATCCGCATTATGGACAAGTTGCCTACTTGGTGGACTCTGCTCTCTGGAGCCTGGCCTGCGCTTCCAGCTTTAGAGGGTGTGCTGATGTGTGCTGGCGATGCCGGACTGGGGTGAACGGTTCCTTGAGCAATAGATGCCGAAACACTGAGCTCGTAGGTGAGTGTCTGAGCTTCCAAGCTTGATCGTGCACCAGTCTTGCTGTGCAAGACTGATGCAGGAATGGTATTTGGTGATAAGCTGCTTTGTGTGGAGAGCCCCGAGCAAGGCTGCATACTCAGCTATGAGTAAGTGAGCTTTGCAGCTTGGCAATGCTATGCAATGCTAGCGGAGAACAGCTAAAGGCTGGGCCTCGCGTTACTGTGCGGGTTCAGAGGACTGCTTGCTCTACGAGGCGAAATGAGCACTCAATCTGACTTTCAAATAGCAGCCATAACGAGCCAAGAGGTCTCCAAGAACAGCTTCGAGGCGAATTCAGTGATTTAGGTAGCTGCCACGCCTGGCGCCAGACTGTTGAGAGGCAGCGTTGCAGATGTCAGAGGCCTCATGAACACATCCACGAACCCAGAAGCCTTTTTGCTGTGCTTCAGAAGGCTGTGCCTGATCTGAAAGTCATAGAGATTGAGAAAGCTCTTCAAGTTCCTTCTGGAGCCAGGCTTGCAGCTTTGCTTCAGCTATGTGGCATGGCAAACCTGATTTTGGAGGAGCTTTGCGCAGCTGCAGCTGCTCTCCAGCTTCTTAGAAAGGCAAGCCAGAAGCAGCATCAGCAACTTGTTCTCGCGATGCGAACAGGCTGTGATAAAGCTGTGAGGCAGCCCCAGTACAGTGCACTGGACTCCTTCAGCAGACTGGAGATTTGCGAGTTTGTAGAGCTACGCAAGCTCAGTGCTGGAGAGGCTGCCAAGCTTGCAGTCGCAGTCTAGTTCCGGATCTTCATTTGGGGCTTGAGCACAGGACATTGCCATGAGCAGCCACTGCAGCTGTTGCATTCTTCATGGCAAGGCAGGTGCAAATTGACACAAGCTTTGAACTTCGCCTAGCCGCACATCCTCGTTACAGATCAGCGTGCTCGTGCACGATGGGGAGCACAAGGCTGAAAGAATTTGTGTGAAATGCGCACTTGCATGGTCAGCCATGAGGTTCAGGTCTACAGTCTACTTCCTGGGTCCTGGCTTGGAGAGGAGGCAAACCGCTACAAGCTCTAGACTCTCTAGACTAGAAGCTACAGTTGCAAGCTTAAAGACAGACATGACCGGCTTAGCAAAGCTGTGCACGTTGAGCTGACCAGATGATGGCGTCAATCCAGTACTTCGTCGTTTCACAAGTTTACTGCTTTAGAGTTGTGATGCTGGCAGTGATCGAAGCTCTTGTATGGTTGAAATGTCTGTGTTTGTCCACTGCTCACCGCAGCGCGGTATGTATAGCCCTGAAAACTGTTACTCGTAGATGTGGCTAAAAGACAACACTGTCTTCTTTGCTTCTTCGACTTCCATGGTATGTCAGTGAGTCATGCTGCGGGAGCAAGAGGCGGCGGTCGCAACATTCCCTGTACATCTAAATGTTATGCCTCCAGTCACGCATCCTGACAACATGGCCCCCGGACTCAGCCCAGAACCATCAGATACAAACGCCAGGAGGCAAAACTAATCGCCACTGTCCCTTGCACGCTACAGCACTCATTCTGCCTCCCCCATCCATTTGGATTTTGGGTTAACTGGCCCACGTTTCTAGACATTTATAACTTCGGTTCAAGGCCATGCACGTGACCTTGGGCGTCTGCTAGATTGTGCAAAAACGCATGGGCACATCTACAGCACAGAGCCGGATCTTGGCAATGCCCCGGCCAAAGGCTTTCTTCGCTTTGCAGACAAAGAGACGCCAAGCTAGCACATGCGGATCACAGCTCTGAGCCTGATGATCCGCCTATCCTGTTTGCAGGACAGCGGATTGTAAGACACCTCCGACTATTCACGCATACAACATCTCACAGCAGAGCGGCCTATTGCACCATAGCAATCTACTTCCAACTGTGCTCTGCGGTAGCTTGAGCTAGGACAGGGGCTGAAAGACAACCCACTATCATGACACATCATGTAAGACTGTGAAGATACCTTTGATCAAGTTTACCAGCTTAAGAAGGTACACGTCGTAAAAAGAGTGAAAACTCAACCGAATATTGTACGACCAGAAACCAGCATGTATTCAGATTCCAATTCAACATGACAGAAGATGTTTCTTCTTCTGGAGAGAATGTCCGGGAATTCGTCAAGGATGTCCACTGCCGCCACAGCTATTCACACTGCTTATGTCTACCGTTTTCCGTGACAAAAGCCAGATTCAACATTCCCGAGCAACAAGAGTCCATTAAAGGCATACGCATGGTTGAAGTATTGTATGCTGTTGATACAGCACATTCATACCATCAACAACCTTTTGCTGATACATGCATGAAGCTGAGTTACGACAGATGCCTCAACCTGACTGTAAATCAGATGGATCATAATTAATTCAGTGAGGTACCACCCCAAAATCCTGTCACTTGTCATCTTAGGGGCAGTTCTACGGATAGCATAGATAACCACAAAAAAGTCCACAACAGAGTAGTTAGAGCCACATGAGCGCTCACATGCAAAAGTCTCAATTTTCCGGCACAAGGCAAGCAAGCAAAAACCTGAAGGGGCAGAATTCCGCCAGTTGCAACCAAGAAGCCTTGGTGCCCAAGACTCACATGTGGCAAGTCTCTCATTGTCGGGAGGGATGTTTGTGTCACTAAGCTCATGGTGCTTGTTACGTCTCAGCGGAACAGCTGGTAAGATGGCGCCTCCCAAGCTTTCCCTCATCTGCATGCTCAAGACAGCAAGATCAACAGGTGGAAGGACCTGAATCATTCCTTCCTCGATCACTACCCGGCACGTGTGTGAGCTGGGTGGAGAGACAGAGATGTGCGTTGTTGACGGAAATTAGAAACAGTCTAAGTTGAGCTGTGACGTACGTAGTTTGTACGAATCCCCGGGTAGACGGAGCCATACGTACCTTTTTCGCGCAGCCTGGCGTATGGCTGATTGACTGTTTGACCGACCAACAACGCAGGCTGGCACTTGATGTCATCGAACTACTTGCTAGCAGGAGCAACTGATGAAGGACTTGGGATCACTGCCAATAGAGCCACCTGTTTTGACTTGTTGACACGGCACCCGGCAAAGCCACATCCCTTCGCGGTCACACTGCGACGGCATACGACGGCAGTGATGTTCCATACTCCGCCGGGCCAGGGTCACCCAACCGACCAAAGTGCCAATCCAATGTTCGCAGAGCTTTGCCCAACCGTCAACTCGATCTTCATCGATATTCCAACTGTCCGGAGGGAAGCGCCCAGGGAGGGTCTGTACAAACTGCTTCAGGTGGCTTTCCTGGAAAGGGACATGGAGGGACGCGCCTGGTTTGGTTGTAGCATCATTTTCAACGCGCTGGGCCTACTGCCTTGACAGCTGACTGGGAATTTGGTGGCTTTAGAGCAGCTAGCCATCGATTGGCAAGGTGCAGGAAACAATTACCTGCTGCAAACTTTCAAGCTATTCTCCAACTCTACACCCAACATGTGGGGGAGCAAGTAGGATCCCACGCAACTCCCCGCAAGCATTCTGCATGTACACACCAATACACATGGCACATGCTGGCAGGTTGGCATGTCTGGTGAGTTCAAAATTCTTGCGCTCGGGCCTGATGCACCTTCTCAGATCTTGCGACAGATTCCAAACACCGCTTGAAGGACGAGGGACTGCAGTGACTTGCATGAATTTTGGGAAATAGACTGATGTCATAGTTGAAGAGTTGAAGAAGAAAGCGAGGCTTCTTTTGGATTGACAAGAGGCATTTGCCACAGGCCGGCTGGTTCCTGTTGCCCAAGCTGTTTCTTTCTTAGTTTCTCCGCATATGCAGGTTAGGCCTGGCGCTGCAACTGGCGCAGGCTCATCTGCAAAAGCTGTTCGAGTCATAGGACAATGCTGGCCTGCATTTGCGAGATAAGCCGGCAGCTGACAGAGCGTCCACAGACCGGCTTAGAGCAATCCAGACGCTGAGGTTCAAGGTGCCTTGAGCATGAGAGTCATAAGAGCCAACAAAGAGTTAATCTTGGTTTCGAAGGCTCCCGACCAGCGAAGCTCAGAAGACGTCGTACAGTGGCTGCATCCGGCTTCATGTCTTGAGATTTTGGAGCATCTGAGCTGGTGCTGGGCAAGGCTTTACTTGTCAAGCTGTTTCACGGCAATAAGTTCTTCGATGAACAGGAGGACACAGTTGAAAAGCAGCTTCTGACATTGCCACTGATGCTCTTGGGACACGGGTCTTGAAGGATACCGTCCTTCATGAGATCTGTCGAAGCATGCCCAGCTCTAGTGTTGCAGCATGTTGCAGCTTCGCAGAGTCTCCGGGTTACTTGGCACAAGAGGTCTTACGTCGAGGTGAAGCGGTTGTGAGCTCGATGCCCTGGCACTGCATTGTGGACTCCAGGCTCCCCCAGCTGAGGCAACATATCATCATCAAGCAGGGCGACGTTGCTGATATGCCGGGCTTCCCAGAAAGTGCAGAGACTTCGAGATCAATCCAAAAAATGGTTGGAGTTTTCGACGTGCGCGTGAACCCGTGCAAGTTTGACTCGTCTTTGCAGTTCCTTTTTTTGCACACGATCTATTCACATGTCCTTATACTTCAAGGAGGAGGCGCAACATGTTGCCGAGCAGCTGCATGCAGGTCCGTTGCCTCCAAAATGGCTTGGGCGTAGGATCAGATACAGGAAGCAACTCAGGCAGCTGATTCATGCCGCACCGCGGTGTCATCTGACTTAGGTGCTACATCCTGCTGAAAGGGGCTGTTGGAATTTGGGTCAATGAGCAAAAGCAACTGAACGAAGAGGATCAGCTGTGTCTGTCGGTTTTATTCTGGACTCAGTCTGTGTGTCTGTAGGAGGCACGGGATGAGTCTGAAGGTCTCCCCAGAACGAAGGCAGTCGCACGCTTCTGCATCGGGCGTGTTGCCTGCAGACTTCGGGGAAGACAGATCCTTGCAGGATACGCAAGATGGCGATCCTGACCCTTCCTCGACACAACCAGCATGTGTGGCAGAGAAGGTGCGTGTGCTGTAGAGTGGAGGCTTGAGGATTCATTGAGGGTTTTGGGGTTTAATTAGGGTGTGGCTGTGTTTTGATTCAGGGCTGAAGGTTTTGAGCTGAAGGTTTGCAAGTGTTTTTTTGAAGCTGGATCGTGTGTTTAGGGTGTCGGCTTTGGGAATTAGGAGGTACTGCTGGGAGTCGCTAACGCGAGACCGCCTCGGCAAGGGTAGAGGAGCCCCCGCCAGGCGCCGCCCTGGCTACCCAGGAGCCCCCACCCCCAAACCCCACAAAATCCGACTTCCAATTTGGGGGTACCCATGGCCGGGACTCGCACCGACCTCCTAACTGTTGGTCCGCCGCCGGATCTAAACAATCCAGGCCTCCGGCCTCGGCAGATTTCATACTCGTCCCCATGGATGTTTGCTTACACTCAGGACCTCAGAAGTTAACTTCAGGAGACGAGTGAGGACACCAGCCAGCTCCATGCAACGAAGAAGCTGCAAAAGGCACATCGAGCTGGCATTGTGAGTTTTTGGGGAGCTCGCGTCAGCATCTTGGGCAGGCAGCTGTGAAGTTGCTGGTTGCAAGGTGACGATTTCACTAGAAGGGCTTGCACTCTCGCTGCTTTAGCAAATTGTGGCAGGCGCGGTGCGGGAGATCTGCAAGCTGAAGCAGCGGAAGGCAGCATGCATCATCGAATCGTGTATTTGTGCAAACATGTGCAAGCCATGTGCACATCTCCCAGGCAACCAGACGGCAGAGCCGCAGGAGAGGTGAATTAAAACTCTTTGGGAAGAACGAACGAAAGAGAGTCTGCAAGTCCAGGACACCAGTTCACATATTGATTCGGTGTGGATCTAAACTCCAGTCACAATGCTGGGGTCATTGAAACATTGCTCGATGCTGGGCAGGTCACCGGAGGCCCCATCCACGCAAGCCGGGTAAAGGCTCATCTCGGTGATTGACATGCGTCCTGTTTCCCAACCTGCTGATGATGTCAGGAACTCAAAGAGGGTGCTTGCTTTGGAGAGGCAAGGGTCCTGGGTTCTCACTTGTCTCGCATTGTGCAACCCCTAAACCTTGAGTCAAAGCTGGTGCTGCGCGACTTGGAAATATGAGAACGCATAAGACAGATCAAGCAGGGATGGGACGGTGATCACCTGGGCAGGCTTCGCTTGAAAATTGACATTTGGAGAATATGATAGAATAGATGACTGTTGCAACGCTCAGCACGAAGGTTCAGCTTATGTCAGTGCGCTCGAGCTATTGCTGCGGCTGCTGGAAGTTTGAGTGATTCTGGTGATAGCTCCTGGTGATTGGACAACCGGTCCAATGAATTGGCCACCGTGTTCCTAAAAAACACATTGGGTGCTTCTATGGGATTTTGCTGGATGGGTAACGTGGCCCCAGCAGATGGGGACCTGTTCTGCATGTGCGAAGCGGCACCAAGGAGGCCTTAAAATTCATAAGGACTATCTAAGGAAGCGGTCATGACAGGATCATGTGAGTCATTTGTGCAGCAAAGTATGGTGCGGTACAGTGTGCTAGGAGCCCTGAAAAACTTGGCCACAAGACATCGGAAGATCCCGCATCGCTCAGACTGGATTGCTCCATGGTGCCCGTCGGAATGCGTGCTGGGCCTATTAATGTTCTTCTTTCACGTATGCACAATAGCTGATCGGCTAGACAACAATTTCGTGTGTACTGATGTGCTGTGAGGTCGATCATCGCTTCGGAAGCTTGCCAGCAGCAGTCCGAGCATGTCCGAGCTGCTTCGCCCCTCCTGATCAGTGGCTACATGAGCGGAATACTTGTCTTGCATCCGGTTAATGCGCAGCTGATATTCGATACATCTGTATATTGCCTTGAGTAACAAGTCCAAACATACACTAGAGACTCAAGCTGCAAAGCATCTTTTGCCCTCATGCCTCTGACCCCAATCAACAGTCCCACAGCTTGACATGGTGCCCGTTTGGAAAACGAGCTTCAAGTGTCGGACACATATAGCCAATGTGTTGATCACAAGAGGTGGATTTACAATTCATGTCCATACCATGCATTGGGGCCACAACCTTTTCCTGGCTCATGCGTGTCCAGCGTATCTTACGTCTTTGCGCGGCGTTGGCCACTTATCTGCAGTAAGGTAGCATCATCTTTCTAGCTAGTCGGTGTCCACATCTTCAGAATGCTGCGGCCCTGCCCCTTTCATGTGGTGTTTAATTATCTTGTTCTTAGATGCCCCGGCCTGGCATACAAGGGCTCAACGCTAACCTCCAAACGTATCGAGCCCTAGATGCTGCATTGCTGAACAGATCAGAACATCGCATGTAAGGCTAGGCTGCATCAGCAAAGCTCTCTTCGAAACGAAGCTTCGCGCCGCCTACCTGGCCAAGGATGTGCGGAGTAGACTTGAGGCATAGTGAGGCATGGGCGCTTGGCACACGTTGATGTCTGTCGAACTGTTGCAGGGAAAGGGGGGATGTTCAGGATACGACGCCCGGTTTGTGCTCATGGCGCGCATTTGCGCGCATGAAAACAAGCAGAAGTCCGGCTGAGCTCAACCATTGCTGGTCCAAACTCGGTGATTCGCTTCTTCAATCTCAAAGGCTAGGTTCTACTTGAATGCTAACAGCATGTTGACTGAACTGGTTCTTGGATCTGGCACGGAAGGTCGCGCCACATAATTGGAGGATACCGGGTAACGCCATGAATCAGATAGCTTTCAGGAAACATGAGAGGGTGTGGAGGTGGCGTAGAACATGGCGCGCAACATGCAGAGCGTGTGCAGCCCACTTCGCCTCCAACACCTTCTGCAATCCTGTGCAGCAACCTGAAGACATCCACCTTTTTGACATTGCTTCTTGCCGTCCTTGCATGTTTCACAGGGCAGGCTCAATTGCTTCTTGGCTGCTCAGTGATTTCTTCTTGTGGGCGAATCGGTGCAGCGATGTGCTGCCTAGCCCCCAGAACATGGCCAACGGCCCAAGACTCATGCGAGGGCTTCAACGGGCTCCTACTGGTACAAACTTCCAGGGGCTTCCAGCGGCCTCCCAAAGATAACAACGTAATGCAAAGCAAGCAGAGAAACGATTCTTCCCAGCCTTGAAGCTGCATGTGTCGTCAGAACGGTATGTGGTCCATATGTGCGGAGCGAGGCAGAGTGCGCCAGCTGTCTGAAACCGGAGGTCTGTTGGCCTTCCCAAGGCCCTGCAAGCCTCCCAGGGCTTCTGCAAAGAAGGGTGGCTGCGCAGGAAATTCTAATTCCGTTTGGCTAGGCTGATGTTATCTGATATCCCACATGCAGTGCTCCATGGGCCACCCCGCCACCTTGGACCGATGCAGTCAAGGGGCAGCCGGTACCAGATAATTTGGTGTGTTGGGGACGCAGATCAGAGTTTAGTTTGCCTTAGCAAGAGGATGAGGCGAATTTGTGGTAAGGATTGCTTCAGACTTGGTCTTATGGGTCTGCATCATCGGTTGAGGGCAACTTAATTGCTTGTGGCTTGCAGAAGCGGTAGTACAGATTTGAAGCTGCCTAGGTTTGGTGCTTGTATTGCTGCATGCCAAGACATTGTGAAATGGTCGCTTTCTGCGGATACGCAGGAACAGGGCCGGGTCAATTTTTTGAGAGATCATTTGTAGGGCGCTCAGCTTGTCTATGCCTTCATGTAGCCTTCCGATCATGCTAAGTTTTGCTTCCGCTCAGGCCGAAGACATTGAATGGCTCAGACCACGCGCAGGCAGGTCGCATGGAAGCAATGCTGCTGCAAAGGCGTTCGCTGCTGATGTAATTAATGCACATTGCTGTCTTCGCCAAACATATCTAGACTCCGCAGGTGTTGGGGGGCTTCTTTGCTGAACAACAGGTGCGCCGTGGACATGTGCACGCCACTGAGCTGCTGGTTGGAAGTCTTGTGCTATGTGTCAGGATGGAGTGATTCTTGAGGTTGTGCACATCTGGAAAGCCATGCGATCGCCTCACCCTCATCCGAGTCTTCCCTGCCTGTTCGGAGGTCAGAGTGAACATGCGCAGCTGCAGTCTGTGCAAGCCAGGACGGATTATGCAAGGTCCGAGTATTACGAGAGGGGAGACCTCAGGACTCCACTTTGTACGATTTGACTGCACCACTGCAAGAGCAATGGAGGTGGTCAGATTATGCTGCAGCACACAGGAAGTAGGAGAAATCGGACGGGGCCAGATTGTTGGCCTGTCAACAGTGCGAATCTTATGCTGCGTGCTCTCAGCGCTGTCCTGCTTGGTTGAATCTGAGATCGGCGGCATGAGAGCAGAGCCCTTTACAGTCGTCTGTGCCAGTCCAGAGGCGCAGCATGCGCAGCTCATTGCTGAGCCAAACCACTCATCAACAGCTGTACAGGTGGCCATCCTTCGGATGGATTCAACAGATGCTCGTAACCGTATTCCGTCAGACCTGCGAGAGGCCAGATGTGTGTATGGGATAGCAAGCGTGCCCATGTGGTTTTCTTGCCTGCTCTTGTGATTTCTGAACGCTGCAAAATTTGGGCCCAGACAAACGTTTGTCGATCTTTTTGTCGTTTTCCGTTCGAGCCTGCCATTGTCTGCGTATCCTCCTACATATCTCAGGCTATGCCATAGAATGCCAACACGCAGTCCTGCTGTGTGGGCTGCCTACGGTGGCGTGATTGGCTGTCTTTGTGCTTCTTCTGTCCAGGCATATGAAATCAGTGTGAGCAGACCAAAGGAGCAAGAAGAATGGTGGTCGCCAAACACACTGCTGCAGAGCACTGCTCAGCGATTGCGAGCGGTGGTGGCAGGCTCTCCTATCATGCGGTCAGAAATGAACAAGCTGCACAAGCCCGAATCAGCTTCAGTTTTACTAGGCCTGGATGCCAGAGGCCAAGTAAGCAGGGCGGATCCTGTGGATTGTGAGTGGGAACTCTGGAGCGATTGGACAGTTTGCCAATTCACCTGTGGCAACGGTGTATCTCTTCGTACGCGCGACATAAAGCGCAGCGCAGAAAATGGTGGTTCATGTGACAGTAATTGGAAGGAGCAGAGATCATGTACAAACGGCGAGTGCCCAGTTGACTGCGCATGGAAGGATTGGAATGACTGGGGTTCGTGCTCCCAGACTTGTGGCAGGGGTTCCTCCACCGCAACGCGCGATTCGACCCCTGCCGAGTTCGGAGGCGAGCCATGCGTGGGAGCATCTCAGCGCCAGATGGACTGCAATGTGGATCCATGTCCCGTGGATTGCGCTTGGAGTGACTGGAGCGACTGGTCCTTCTCTTCCAGTTGTGGTGCTGGCACGAAGCATCGGCACCGGCAGGTGCTCGTTCCAGCGAACGAGCTGGGAACGGCTTGCGTGGGTCCGACCACGCAAAGTGCCAACAGTGCACACACTGAGTGTCCTGTTGACTGCGAGCTGGACGACTGGGGAAGATGGTCTCTTTGCAGCACAACCTGTGGTGCAGGCGGGGGGCCGGCCATATGATTTCTCGTACTGTGTGCGGACACAAAAACGTCGGGAATGTTTGTTGTACTTCCCTCATGTGCATTGTAATGTAGATTAGATTTCAAGCGCGTACATGAAGAAGAAAGAATGCTAGCAGACATATCATACTGGTCCTGGCGCAATGCTCTGAAAATCTTTGTTTTGAATCAGCACTCAGCAGATAGGCGTCTTTCTTGGCCTGAGTCCCGTCTGAGAGCCCGAGGCCCATGCTTTCCTTCCTGCAGTCCAACTACCCTTAGCTTACAATCAGGTGTATACGCACTGAAAATCGTGAAATCAAGCTGTTGGTTTGCGATCGGTTGATCGCCTAAATCCTTGGCGTTGTAGGAAGAAGAATAATTGAGCATGAGTGTGTTGACTGGCAGCGCTTGCTAGCTAGAAGTGATATTACCAGTTTCCGGGAAGATAAGCCGATTCTGTATTTAAACCTGTGCGTTTGGCAAACTGTCGCAACGGCAAGGCTGATGCTGCAGGTACACCTGACCGCTCCTGCAGCCATCAGCCCCAAGTTTCCGTCAGCATTAGTGGTTTTGACTTAGGTGCCTCTGCTTGCATCTGTCTGACATGCCGTCTGACCAGGAACTTGACGCCGTTGCTTCTGCCCCTTTCCCTGCGTCAGGTTTGGTTGTGGGACACATTCCTGACCCCACCTGTGCTTACCTGCCAGGTGGTGGCTCCCTTCCGGCTCTGCCTGGGCCTTACAGCTTCTGTTGGTCTGTGCCGCCTCCGCTTGCTTCTGACCCGCCTTTGCAGGTCTGCTGCTGGCACTCAGTTGTCATGCCTTCCTGGCTGGGTCGTTGCCGGTTCTGCCCGCCTGTACTCTGGTGCATGCTGCCTCTGAGCTGCCTCACATTATCTGGTCTGCCTAGCTATCTCTGCCTGCTACCAGGGCTGACCTGGCAGCCCTGTCTCCACTGCTTTAGCTTGCACATCCGTCTGGCTTGAGCATGTTGTTCAGCATTTAGCATCCTTTGCTCTCCTGCCTCGGTGCCTGACCCTATCGTGCACCTTGGCTACCGCCTGGCTCCAGCAGCTCCTGGCCCTGGATGACGAGGGCCTCGGGGACGTGCTGCGCGCCCCTTTTTTTGGAGACGCCGTGCGCATCTCCCGCCTGTCTAATGATGCCGTGCACCGTCACCTTCTGAACCTGTCTCTGAATCGGCGCCCTGACTCGGGTGCCGCAGACCGGCTCACAGTACTGCCAGACACCCTGCGCGACGCCTGGCTGCCCCCGTGTCCGCGGCCGTCATCTGCTTCGTGGTGCTGGCCCTCGCCGTCATTGTTACTGTAGGGAGTGCTACAGCCGTGGCGCCTAACTAAGGTGCAACTCTGTCTGCGCACTTCTGCCTGCTCATGCAAAATGGGTGGTCTTCTTGGTGCACTGACTGCCTGCCGTGTGTGGTGCGCTGTTCCCAGCCACTACTTCATCTGCCCCGCGAGCCAGCTCCGTCGGGCGCCCAAGGAAAAGCCACGCAGGCGAGTTGCGCTTCTACGGGAACCCGGAGTAAGTGGGAGGTTTGGTGGGAAAGGGAGCCTCATTCAGAGCCAACTGAGTGTGGTTGCTGTAGATGTCTCGCAACCGGAGCAAAACTATGACGGGTCTGAGCCCTCCAGAAATTTGTGGGGAGATGCTGAGATGATGCATTGTTCTTCGAGAAATCACATGTTGAACTTCAGCAACTTGAGAACGGCGGAAAGATGGGGGATCGCGTGTCGCAGCTCGTCTACTTGCTGCGGAAGATGCGCCTTGAAGCACTTCTTGAAGGCGGTTGTGTGGACGCAGCCGATGCTGTTGGTGACCTACTCAGTGACGAAGCTGCCTGTCCGTCCCGCCCGGATGCGTGGGTCCAGAAGTGGGCTGGAGGCGTTTTGAGGGGTTGACAGCCGATACGGAAGACCTTGTAGTTGACCTCGATACAGGCGCCATCTCTGAGGCCTTAATGCTGAGGTATCACTACAGCAGGCGTTCCTGTGGCAAATTGACATCGCTACATCCCGCCTCAAACGCACTGAATGGCTCGACTTAACAGGGGAGAAAGCTTTCCTATCCATGAGTAAACGATTCCGTGCGGCTATAGCGCTACATGGTTCCTGCCCTCAGCGAGCTCTCTTCTTCTTTAGTAGTTGCATGCATAGCTGTGGCTTCTATGTCAGAGCACTCTTCACCTTTAGAGAGAAGCAAGTGCAGCGCATCGAATCGATGATGATGCGAGTTGACTTGACAGATCATCATGAAGGTCCATGGCGCCCTGACGTTGAGGCCGCGCTCAGGAGCAGACCATGTTCCAGGAGGTCTTGATGGAAGTCGGCCAGCAACGTGCGGCCGCTGATGTTCAAGCAGCCGATGACGGTGTGCTTGCTGAAGCCATGTTGGATCATGAGCTTGCCGGGGGTGATGCTTCACGGCCCCAGGGCTTGTTGAACCACATGGTCAAGGGCGAGAGGCAGAGGGAGGGTCAATCTCGAGCAATTACCAGGGTTTGGAAGAGCTGCGTAAGCGGGGGCCTGGTGGCCGTTTGTTCGGATATTCGGGTCCGAGATTGTTCCGCAAAGTGTGAAAACTAGTAACTAGTGAGGGTGCGCGTTGACAAACAGGGTCATGTTGCGGAGGTGTTCCAAGTTGGTTGGGGGTGCAAACAGCGCACTGACACCTGGCGCAATCAATCGTCAAAGTCACCTTTGCGCGAAATCTCAACTTGTTTCGGATGATGCGCTGCGTGTCCATGTCTCATGCCAATATGGTGGAGTTCTGAAAGCTTTCAGCCTTGAACCATTCATGCTAAGCCCTGGGAAGCTCTTTCTGTCCAACCGCCAGTGCAAGAGATCTGGCGTGAATTACCTGACTTCGTTCGCTGCTGGCAGGCATGGCTTCTCTGGTGAGCTCGCTGGATGATGGGAATCATTGTGCCGGACTCATGTAGATGGGGTCTTTCACGTAGCGCGTGGCTGATCACTCAAGCAGCTCCTCTCCCTGCCAGTCTTGAACCTATAGTGAATTTTATTTTACATGTCCGTGTACACACTTCTCATGTGCGCAAGCTCCTGAGTTGACACTGTGCTGGCTTGGGTTGGGCCATAGTCTCTGCGTGAAATAACATCAGAATCTGCTTCGCAGCCTGCCGTGGCAACCTTGGCTTCCATGTGGCGCTTGAGGGTCAGGCGTAAGGGGGGGACAGCGCTACTACGCTCGAACACAGTGTAACGTTGAGTTATGTGCATGCAGGCGAGGCGTGCTCAAGCAAGCAGCGTGTTTCGCAAGCAAAAGCCCATGGCCCTCAAACGTGATTTGGCCAGCTGTGCAATCAAAGACCTGGGCCACGGTAGATTTCAATTAAATTGGCCAGCCCTGGTCGGACCATCGCCGGGGGTCGTGACAATCGCGTTGATCGTCAACGCTCGAGCGTGGAAAACTGGAAGGAACAAATGCCCTCCTCCTGAGCTCAATTGCCTGAGCAGTGTAGCATCCGCAGACTGACGAACCGTGGCGCTGACTTTTGTAACCTAGCAGCTCGCGCCCGGTTCCTGACCTGGTACGGCTGTAACTTGGTGACGGTCCCTAGAAGCCCTAGAGCCCCAAATGAAAATGTGCGTGTTGCCAATCGTTGAAAGGGGCTCGGAGATAGGCTCCGTTGTCTGCGCGCCTTGGAACACGCAGCAAACCTGAATTCAACATTTGCGAAAGTTCCCAATGAAATGAATGCAGTGGTGTTATTTACCACGGCGCGCAATGCAGGAGCGAATGCAGAGCTGATAGAAGTTTCTTCTGTGTCTGCCGAAACATATGAAATCCACATGTGAAAAGTTTGATTGACTGGCGTTGCGCCAAGTCTAGAAGCCGCAATGTCTTTGTCAGTGTTGTCGCGAATGACGCGCTCCCTGGGAAATGCGATTTTCCTTGTGTTTTGCACGAGTGCACGCGCGGCGATGTTGTTCTTGCCACGGTTGTCCTCTGGGTTGGTGAAGAAAGCCCACGACAAAAGCGAGAGCCTACGATATTTTGTTGTGCGGTGCTGTGTGTTGCGGTGTTCATAGTGCTTTTGCACCATCAGCGTCGAAGCAGTTATGCTCGTCATGTTAGAAAGCAGAATCCATTTTCGGTCATCGCGCGTATGCTCAGTGCCAGCAATTTGCGTGCGTCCAACTCTTGACCCTACCTTGGATGCTTGGTGAGAGCTTGCCATGACGCGTTGACCATGCGTAGTCGCAGTTTAACCCACATTCCGGCGAGCGCCGCGCGATGAGAGGTTGGGTTGTGTGTCGGACCAAGGCGCTGCTTGGTTGTATACGGATCCACTGCGTCGGGTCCATTCGCATATGCTGCAGGGGCAAGATATCTGAGTCTGAGACTACCTTCAAAACTTACCGTGTTTCTGTCCGTGCCGTGACCAAATGTATGATCTGCTTCTGAGCACTTTGGGAAAGAAGCTATTGGCTGCTTCTCCTGCCTGAACAGCAAAGGAAGCCGAACAACACAACTCAAGTTCTTCTGGGACAGGGCCATTGCGCTTCTGACAAAGCTGGAACAAATACCGCGTGTTGCTCATGATGTCACTCGCTGGCAGGGCAATAAAGTGCAAAAGTTTGCCCAAGAAGTGCGCCCTGACTGATCGCGCGCCGCCCGCTATATAAGTCTTCCACGATGGTGCTTGGGTCCCTGCATAATGTTGATGCGGTTCTGCTTCTCCTGATGCTCTTCCAGTGCTGCCTGTATTCGAAACTGAGCTTGAGGCTGCCGAGCTGTTGTTCCCGTGTTGGTATCGCCTGGAACCGTAGCAGTTACTGGAACAAGCATTGTGATCTGAAACTTCAAGAACCGAATGCGCTGAAGCTACGCTGCTGATCTTGGTGGTCGAGCCCAATCCGGCAATGTAACGACTGAAGGTTGAGCGCTCCGACATTGTGCGGGAGGCAAAGTCCTCCATTGAATAGTTGAGACCCGTGCGTTGTTCCAAGTCTACGTGCTTTTTCTGCCCTTCCACCTCCAGGAATTGCTAGCAGAAGCAAGTCTATTAGGCTCCATTCAAGTGTCTTGCCCAACTAGGGCGCCGTCTCCTTCATGTGTGGTGCAAGGGCTCTGCAGCTCCATCGCGGGATAATTGCGGTTAGCAACAAGGCCACGCGAGGAGTCAGTAAAGTCCATTGTGCTTCCTTGATGGCAGGAGTTCAAACATGCACATGAAGAGGAAGGTTCTTAACATGTCATAAATCTTGGACCTGGCCTAATTCTCGGCAAATCTTTGTTGCGATGTACCAGCACCCATGGTGGAATTGCAAGCAATCGTGGTCGGACAAGTGGTTGTCACATGTTGTCACGCTGTACAAGCGGATGCGTGATCCCAATGCCTGAGGATCATATCATCTCACACTCGGCAGGCAGGCTCTTTCGTTTGCTTGAGTTTTGCTTGTGAGCCTAATGCCCCGTGCTTTTTTTCCTGCAGTCCAATTACCCTTCACGGTGTACACGAACACAGGTTTGAGCGAGCACGACTCTGAGCAGACGTCATATTTTTCGACGTGCCTGTCCTCAGCAGTTTTCCGTGCAATGGTGCTGGAATGAATTGCTGAGGTGCCATCGCCCCATTAGACCAAGGTCCGTCCTCCTAGTCCAAGGACCATTTCCAGTAGTCCAAACTTCGCCCCATTAGTCCAAGAGTGTGAGGAGTTCTGATTTAATTTCATCATCGCCCCATTAGTCGAAGGTTCCTCCTATCAGTCCAAGGATCGTTTCCATTAGTCCAAGAGTCGCCCCAGTAGTCCAAGATCTGTTGTTGTGCATACCCACATATCACAAATTCTTGCCTGCGAGAAATCCTGGAAAAGCGCAATATTTCGGCAAGGGCACGCTAAAAAATTTCTTTTTTTGACGTGTATTCTCGGGACTCCCAATATTGCGCGCTTGTTGAAACACTGCGCTTTACAAAGAATTCCCTCATGTAGTGCTGTGGGCTGATGACTCGGCGCGCGTTCGTGCTCCGTCGGCGCAGATACGGGTTTTGAGCATTATTCTTCATGAAAGCACGGCAGGCAGGCTGCCATACATGCGCCACTGCTTCCGTATTCAACATGATTGGCCAACCGCTTGGATGGAGTCATCTCGCCAGGGAGATGGGACGGTGGGCTTTGGTGGATTTGGCGGGAGAGGCTTGCCCTGCAGTGTGGGGCTGGGTAGCTGTGAGGCCTGGAGGTTTTCCGAGAAAAAGAGGCAATCTCAGGATGCCTGATGGATCTGGACATCTCGGCCAGCCGGTCTCGGATTATACTACGCAGTCGCACGCCCTTTTTGCACCATCAGCGTCCCGTGAACCCCTCAACCGGCCGATGTCCGCTGTGAGTTTTGGCCAGCTAGGCAAAAATTCTGTCAGCCAAGCCTTCCTATCCCGTGCTTGCCCCTTTTCGATTTTTCGAGCAAGACTGAACGGCGTGCAGGCTTCCGCCCTTTACACCTTGTGTCTGTTGCTTTGTAACACCTGCGCGCTTGCACTTAGCACGTTGCTGCCCTACAGGCGTGACAAAGCGGAGTCGCACGGTTAGCAGAGCTGCAAGCTTCGGCGGTGCAGCATGCGGCAGTCTGCAGGAGTCGAAGATGTGTGATGGAGGAGACTGCCCGGTTGATTGTCGATGGTCTGACTGGAGCAGTTGGCAAGCATGTTCGACATCGTGCGGCGACGGCAATTCTACAAGATCCAGGACTGTATCAGTTCCGCGCAACTCCTTTGGAGAGGATTGCCAGGGGAAACCTCAGCAAAGCAGGCAGTGTAGCAACGAACCTTGCCCAGTACCTTGCAAAATGTCTGATTGGACTCAGTGGACTTCTTGCCCTGTCACTTGCGGTTCTGCCTCTGTCCAGCGAACGCGGACAGTTGCCGAGCAATCTGGGAATGGTGGTAGTTGTCCTGGCCAAGATCATGTCTTTGAGAAGAAGTATTGCAGTGTGGATCCATGCCCAGTGGACTGTACATGGGATGATTGGGATGACTGGCACGCATGTTCCTCAACTTGCGGCAGTGGGCAGACTCTGCGCATCCGGCTAGTCAAAACTCCCGCCGAGGGTGATGGTCAAGATTGTATTGGCCTCCGGGAGGAGAATCGTACATGTGAACAAATGGCGTGCCCAAAGCATTGTGAATGGCAGGATTGGGGGGACTGGATGGGTTGTTCAGTTTCATGTGGTGATGGCACCGGTGAGCGCCAGCGCGAAAAGGCTTCTGAGGCATTTGGAGGCTTGCCCTGCAAGGGCGAGGCCAGTCAGAATGGCCTCTGCCATGCAGGTCCATGTCCGTTCGCTTGCCAGTGGGGTGATTGGACTGATTGGGAATGCTCCGCATCTTGCGGACAAGGGTCAAAATCCCGCCGTCGATCAGTTCTGGTTCCAGCAGAGTATGGTGGAGCTGAGTGTGCTGGCAGCAGCGCTGAAACTGGAAACTGCGTTCTTCAAGAGCACTGCCCGGTGGACTGTCAATGGTCCGACTGGAGTGACTGGCATCAATGTTCTGTGAGCTGTGGACAAGGCATGAGCAATCGCAACAGGACCAGATTGAAGTACGAAGACTATGGTGGTCAGGCGTGCTTCGGCACTGCAGATGACGAAGCAATCTGTGACGCTGGAGCCTGCCCTCATGATTGTGCTTATTCTGATTGGGGGCCGTGGTCTGGGTGCCCAGTCACGTGTGGCAATGGAACTCGCACAAGGGCTCGAAGCATCCACGCTGAAAGCGAATTTGGGGGCAAGGCTTGCCTCGGCCCTTTCACGGATGAACGACGTTGTGCCTCCAACGCCTGCCCAGTAGATTGTGTCTGGAGTGTGTGGTCTGATTGGAGCTCCTGCTCATCGAGCTGTGGCGGAGGCCATGCATCTCGCACTCGAACAGAGTTGGTCTCTGCAAATCATGGTGGCATGTTATGTCAGGGAATGCCGCAAGATGAGCATCGCTGCAAGCATCAAGCCTGCCCGATTGACTGTGCCTGGGAACCCTGGTCCGAATGGTTGGCATGTTCGGTGTCTTGTGGTGGAGGAGAGAGGTATCAGCATAGGAATCGAGCAATGCCCATGTTTGGAGGCGCACCTTGCGAGGGCAGTGAGACAAATATGGAAGCTTGCAACCAACAGGAGTGCCCAATTGACTGTATATGGTCTTTCTGGACGCAATGGTCGGACTGCTCCAAGAGCTGCGACCTGGGAAGCACGTCACGTTCAAGGAGCAGGGCTGTGACTGAACAGTTCGGCGGACTGCCTTGCCCAGGGGTTGCCCACCAAGAAGAAGAATGCAACAGGGAAGGCTGTGCAGTCGACTGCGAGTGGGGTCCATGGAGCAGGTGGACGGCTTGTTCCGCAAGGTGTGATGATGGGCTTTCGAAGCGATTCAGAGATGTTCTCGTGCCACCGAAGAATGACGGCTTACCCTGCATCGGAGAGGATGAGGAGCAGGCCGTGTGTCACGAGGCATGGTGCCCTCGAGACTGCAAGTGGGACGATTGGAGTTCATGGACTGAGTGCACTCAGTCTTGTGATGGGGGATGGAGGCAAAGAACTCGAGCAAAGCTTCAGGAGGAACAGCATGGAGGCACACCCTGTGCAGATTCCAGCCAGGATGGGGAGTACTGCAACACCCAGGTTTGCCCCGTGGACTGTATCTTAACAGATTGGTCTCCGTGGGGATACTGCAGTGCGACATGCGGATCTGGGGTTCAAGCTCGGACGCGAGGAAGGCTGCAAGAGCGGAACGGTGGTCGACCTTGCAAACGTGACTTGATAGAGACTCGAGAATGTGATAATGCACCTAATCCGAGCCTTGTCTGCAGTCGGGGCAATTTAAGTTGTTTTGGTTGCAAGTGGTTCAAGCTGATTCTTCTGAAGTGGAGGAGACCTGTTTGCATTCACGGTGCCTTTCAGGACGTTGTGCCCCTCTCCTACGTCAGTCTCTGCAGACCTACCAGGCATACCTACGGCAAATGGGGCAACAAGCCTTCCAAGGTCAGCTGGACTGGTGCCAGGATTGTCTTCCCAGCCATCCGCACCTGGTTTAGCCAGTATTCCAAGAGTGGCTCCAAACTATACCTTTGAACAAGCGCAGGCGGCTGCGTCAGGTGCGTCAAGTATGGGAGTGTCTGGCTGGGATCCTGTGCGCAACCGAGGAGGCAAAAGGATACCTTCCCATGAAGATATTTCCAGGCACTACCCACCTGAGCTGCACAAGAGCTTTCCCCAAGCTGCTGGGCCATCCGCATCAACAAAGCCTGCAGCTCCGTGTTTGAAAGATGATCTGAAAGCTACTCTGGAGGTCTATGATGCCTGGCATGACATTCTGCGTGCTTGCTGTTTTGAAGCAATCTGGTAACTTTTTGAGTCCAATGCCAATGTCTGTGCTGACAAAGGAACGCTCCAAGTCAACAATTGCCTCCATGAAGAGGGATTGGATGCAAGGAGAACAAAATGTCGTGGCAAAGGTGGCTGGCAATCTGACTCTTCACGTCCCTCCGTTGCTTCTAACTTGCTGGCTGTTGTCACGCTGACGTTTGCAAGTCGGATTGCCAACCATTTTAGGCTGAGCAGTCTGACGAGCTCCTGAAAAGTGCAGCTGCCAAAGTTGCACTAGCCAAGGCGAGCAATCATACAGGTTTATTGGTTTATCTGTCTGGGCTTACTCAATGCTGCAGTGATGACGCGAGGCAGTGGCGAATCTGGCTTCTGTAAAGCCTGAATCGGTGACCGTAACCATGCGCTCTCCAACATCGGCTACCGGAGACAAGGCGGCCATGTGAGTAGTAGCATCACGTGAGGGGCCATAATTCAGACGCAGTAAGATGACCTGCGCAGACACGCCAGGCGAGCAATCTGATTGCCAGATATTCCATCAACTTGTTGGCCGATGATGCATACACCGCAGCCAGCGTTTCAGCGATGGTGCAGACCCAATCTGCAGCAAAGGCAGCTTGCCTAAAAGGCGCTTATCAAGTCAAAATTCAAGGCTCCTTGTGGCCAAGGTCACGCAGGAGCTTCAGAAGGAGCTGTCTGCGGTGTGGTCTGGAAGAGTCAAGGCTGTCGGTCTCAGCATGCGCAGCTCGGTGCGAGTCAGATCAAAGGAGCATGCTCCAGTTCCATCTAATGTGCTTAAGGGCGTAACAACTTTGATCAGATTGCTTGTGATGATGCCTAAGGAGTGGAGCTCCCTACAGACTAGATGATGAAGGTGTCATCTGAAAGCCTTTCGCGCCCCGTTTGGTCTGGAGGTAGGCTACATGAGAATGGGTCTCCAAGTCATCGTGTTGGCCGCCTACAAGATGCAAGAACTCAGGACTTCGCTGAGAATTCTGCCGCTCCCTGTCTGAATGCGACGACCTCCGCTGATGGCACAGAGTGGAAGCGTGAAGAACGGACAAATTGCCCTCCACAGACTTCTGATGACTTCTGCCACTAACTTCAGGGCGCTAGGCAATGCAGCCATGGCAGTCTGTGAACTGATGAGGCCATGATCGCCGTTGGACTTCAGATGATGGAGCGAATGCAGCGCTCAACGCTTAGACTCAGCAGCATCGCTGTGTCTCAATCACAATGCTTTTAAGCAAGGTCGTGCAGACTTCCTCCAAGCAGTTTTCAGCCCCAGCGGAGATTCCATACAAGCCAGGGCCTCATGAACTAAGGATAACCAGGGCTAGGATGGTGTTTCGCTGTATTCGGCGAGGTCCTGGCGGGACTCGAGGCTGAGGCAGCACGTAGATCTTCATGGGGCCTTGATGGACAGCTGTGACAGACTGAGGATGCGCAAAGCAAAGGGCTTCAGCTCTCAAAGCTGCCTTCGACTGGACCCCAGCTCAGATGTGGCCGTGCTCTTTGTCATTGCCAGCGTGGACAGGCCGAGATCTCATTGGCAGGCAAGTGCAGCATGTGATCAAATTCATTGTGTGTGCCCGCAGAGCTAGTCTTGCAAACTCTTTGCAAGTTGAGCATGGGCCACTGCTGCCAAGCATTCTGCAGGAGGACACTGCATGAAGTGGCATAGCAATTGTTGATATTGCTTGTGCTTGCTGCGGAGGCAGTCCCAATCAGATTACTGTGATTAAGAGTGCGAACATGCTTATATGCAATCAGGTTTTCAGGACCCGTATCTTGTAGTTTTCTTACATGAAAATGCACATTGCATGTAGCATTTTGTTAACGAATTGTGTTTGTGGAGCGATGGGAAAATGGGCAGACCCCGGGCGTTTTGCATAATCAGCATCATTAAATGTCGATGCCTCCAAAGGAAGGCGTCGATGCCCTCTCTGAATGTGCAAAAGGCACCTCTCTTTGTTCTCTTGCCGTCGGAGCTCCCTGACTTGTCAGTTTCGTTGGTCGGATTCGTGCCACGGCCTCCTTCGACTCGGAAGAGATGCCTTTCCAATCTTTTCCATCACTAGAGTATGCACTGTCATCTCTTTCAGATGGCGATCTGCATAAACCGCATATTTGCTTGCGGCCAAGCCACCCTGAGTCTCAACATCTTGGCAGGGCAGATTTGACGAGGCACCAGCTGCCAGCCCCAGGCTTTGCGACGCATTCTGCAGAGCGTGTCCGAACAGCGCTGAAGCAGCCAGGGTTCGAACCGCGCCAGCTTCCCAAAAGGGTGAGGCCAGCCTGGGTGGCAGCTGGACAACTCCGTTGGACCTCTCATCAGAACTGTTGTAGGTGCCTGTTGTAGGTGCATGATGCGCCGCATCGGCGACAACTTCAGAGGTGCGCGACGGAACCGTGACACCATCAAGAAGCACATATTTTGGTTGTGCAAGCGCACTAGCTCTTTGCTGCGAGTGAGTGTTGCCCGTGGGAAAAAGCAAGGTTAATGGAAAGGCAACAGCGTGAATGGGAAGACCTGGTTATCACGAAGACTTCACAGTGGTCTCCGTGCCTGTGCTGCAGCAGCTGACCAACATATCAAACGGGCAATGTTTGCCCTCAGCAGCTGCTATCTCAACAACACCCTTGGCGCTCTGCTCAGGAACATGGTCTCTGAAAAGCAGAAGGAAAAGGAACGGCTGAAAAGACAGCTCCTTTGCAAAAGCGTCCGACAAGGGAGGGCACTACCTCTGCACTGCAATCGCGTGAACCCCTGCATGGTGCTGAGGCTTCACAGTCGGAACATCAAGACAGACAGGTTACTCAAGGAGAACTCGACTTGGCAGCATGAGCGCTTTGGCTGCAGAATGCAGAGAGCTACTCGAAGAGCTTTGCACCGACACGGCCAGTCTTGAGGAAACATTTGCTGCTCACGCGTCCAGACTTGTGCGTCCGGGCCCCTGCTGTCATGAAAAGAGGCGTCCTAGCCTTCTAGCAATGCTAGCATAGTGCAAATGCTTAGGAAAAGGCCACCTGCAGAAGAGTTTCTGGAGAGATCCGGGGTGGCATTTTTATCCCAGGTGGTGCCGAATCCTGAATCCATTTTTGGTGCTTGTTCCAAGGGTGTCGCAATGCCGACATCAGACATGCAGCTTTAAGGTTGCACGGCCAGGGTTCCTGCCCCAGCTGGCTGAAATTCTGTTTGCGCCTGCAGCTAACACAGACGTGGATAGCATGGATTAGGCAGAGCTTGTCCAACACACCGGCTTGGCCCCTTGTTTCTGCCTGGGTCCGTGCTCTTGCCAGTGCCGGGCAGGTGTGGTTCCCATCGCACCCTCCGCATGTGCCGGTCCTACAAGTCAATCTGGGAAGTCGGTTGCAGCTTGAAACAGCGGATGCCAGCAAGGTTGAGGGCAGGGATGACATGCAATGAGACTTTCGCGGACCTTTGAGCGGTAAAAACTGAGGAGGTGTTGAAGCCAAGCATGGAAAACAGGCTTGGAGCTGTGCAACTGCGCTGCATTTCTCGTCGGCCTTGTGTGAGCTTTTTTCTCAATCGAGCCTGGCCTTTACGGCAAGAAGAAGCAGCTAAGAGCTGCATACTTGACGTGCCGGGATTTTTATCGCTCTTGTAGTCTCTTGCTGCGCGTGCGCATGACAGGCTCACTTCCACCACACCTCCGTTGCAGTTTTGCACCCAGAACCGCTGCCCCACATGGTCGTTGAACCTGGTGTCCTGGTGCATGCTACGAGGCGTGTCATGACCGTTGCTGTCTCTCCAAATTTGCGACCTCCAAAGCTGAGTCGCTTGGACTTCTCGTTGCAGTCAGACCCTGAAATCGTAACAATCTTCCTGTGTTGCTTGCCCACACTGTGGAAGTAGAGGCCACGAAGTCGTAACAATCAGCGTGCTCCCTGCGGATTGCAAGTTCATCAGTGTCTTCCAAAAGCTGAAGTTAAGCGGTTACACTTGCTCATATCAGATTCTCATAGCTATTTGTTGTGCTCCTCCTCCTCCTCCTCCTCTGACCCTCCTCTGACCCTCCTCTTCCTTTGCTTCAGACGTTCCAAGCAGAGCAGGGGAAGGAGCGGGAATAGAAGGGAAGGGGGATGGCCTTCATTTGAGGGGTTTGGTGTATCGTTAGGGGTATCATCCGGGCATCGAAGGGGCTATCGTTCAGATCCACTGCTAGAGGTAGTAGGCTCCGGTTACGTTCGTGACGGTACATTTACGTCGCATCGGAGGATCCAAGATGCTGTAATTGCCAGCGCTCGTGGGGTTTCAGATGGCCGCATTTGCCGTCGACTTTTCGGGGCCTTTTATGTGAAACATGTTTCAGCATGCGGAAACTCAAATGCCTGCATCGTTGATATTGGCTCCAGGCAGAGTCAGGGATGAAACGATCCTTGGATAAAATTAAAACCAGAAGAACTCAACCATTGGACTCATCGGGCGTGCCTTGGACTAATGGGGCGATGATAAAATTAAGTCAGAACTCCTCACACCCTTGGACTAATGGGGCGAACCTTGGACTAATGGGGCAATGAATAATGAGAAATAGTTCCGGGAAAGCCTGCTTCAAAAAACATGTTATTGTAAAAAACGTACAAAATCAGGCCCTAACGCATTAGAAAACGCGCAAACAACTCAGACCAGACATACTGGGCAAATGGATCAAGCAGAAAATTCGCACGAGGACTTCGTTCAAAAATCACCCGAAACCTCAATTTCAGTAGGGTGAAGTGGAGAAAATCATACCGTCATAAACGCGACGGTTACCCAGTAGTAGTAGCAGTAGCAGTAGCAGTAGCAGTAGCAATAGTAGTAGTAGTAGTAGTAGTAGTACTAGCACGAGTACTAGTACTAGTACTAGGCGAGCGCCTGCTCCCACGACCCCGTGCGACCCCGTGTTGGTGGTATATGTTGTTTTGCGGATGTTGTTCTGCTGGGACGCCGTGGGCACATGCTGTTGTGGCCTGGGCAGCCACTCTGGTTCTCTGCTTACTAGCGAACTCAGCCATGTGGGGCGCTCGCTTACGATCGTGTGACGGCGCCTTGCTGGACCTGGCAACTCAACCTGAGACCTCAGCTGCATCTGCTGAAGCTACCACGCTTCTTGTCAAAATGTCCTATGTCCAGCCGGCATGCGCTCAGCAGAGCATGCATGCCCAAACCATAATGGCGTTCATGTTCGACTGCATACGATATCGAGAGCATCCATGCCCAAGCCACAATAATGTTCATGTTCGACTGCATGCGGTGACCAGAGCACCCATGCCCAAGCAATCATAACATTCATGTTCGACTGCATACGCTGACCAGACCCTCCATGCCCAAGCCATAATAACGTTCATGTTCAACTGCATACGATAACGAGAGCATCCATGCCCAAGCCACAAAAATGTTCATGTCCGACTGCATACGATAACGAGACCATCCATGCCCAAGCCATCAGAACATTCATGTTCGACTGCATACCTTCCCCCAAACCATGATAGCGTTCATGTTCGACTGCATGCGGTGACCAGAACACCCAAACCATAATAACGTTCATGTTCGACTGCATGCGGTGACCAGAGCACCCATGCCCAAACCATAATAGCGTACATGTTCGACTGCATGCGGTGACCAGAGCACCCATGCCCAAACCATAATAGCGTTCATGTTCGACTGCATACGCTGAC